AAAAAAAAAAAGAAAGAATGAATGATCTATTATTCTCACATCTATCATTGTTTGAATTGTTTAATTCCCACCGTATTGAGGTTAATTGTCCATTATAATTATCTATTGAAGCAGGAAAGATATAATATGCATTTATCGGTCAATAAGTAAAGATATGTATATCTACGTGCAATGAATAAAAAAAAAAAAGAAAGAAGCTTAGATTAAAGCTGTGAGTTCTAATTGATATATCCGGAGAAAGTTGATGATGTAATTGTCATACAAACGTACTGAAAAATATGGAAGGTGAGTAATCGGTCAAGTTGTTGGCCTTCGTTTTATGCATACAATTCTTGTTTGATGTACTATTATATGCACATATATATATACCGTTATATGAAGCTTATTTTTACTTCATACAAAATTCTTTATAGATAAAAATAGAATGTGGATACTACATTATACTAGTGACAATAATATACAAATATTTGTTTATTTTATTGTTTTATTGATTTTAATTAATACAACAAATGAAGTTATTAATATTCCGACTATTACATTCCATAATCATTCATTATCAAGTAATGAATTTTTAAATACAACAACTTTATATTCATGGAAAAAATCAAATTCTATTGAAATACTTAAAAAATTAATTGCAAATCGACAAAATTTAACAAAATATAATTCAAAATTATTATTATTATTAACAAGTAAATTTTATTTTAAAAATTTGAAGGATAAAAATCTTAGAGTTCATATTACTTAAGATGATCTAATCTTATTTTATATATATATGAAAATAAAGAATAACTATTATTTTAATGTATACTTTTTTTACATTAATAATTCAATGAAAGGCAATTTTATTCAAAAAAAAAAAAAAAAGAAATGTTTGATTTTTTGCATAGATCAGATATCCATACTGATTAATTCGAATCATTTAATAAATATACAAATTAATAACTTTTTGTATATGAATGTGAATTTATAGAATTGCTTTTATGAAAATTCCGAAACATTGTTTTATCTATTTTAGACAATACACAACAAATAGTATTAACATCACCAACAGTAAATATTTCAAATACAACATTACAATTTCAAACGATTACATTTAACAATAAATCAACCATTGATATACAATATAGTTCAACAACTAATGATGATCTCCTTTTATTTTCATCACTTCAACAAACAATTGCTAAAAAACAATCTTCCAATACTACAATATTTGTTCTTATATTTGTCTTTGGTTTTAGTGGTTTGATTTTTCTTACATTAATGTGTATATTTTTTCTTAGGTAAAAAAAAAAGAAAAAAAACATAATTATGAGGCTGTTGTTTTTTTCTATATAGACACCCCATTGAGAGTGCTTATGGTTACTTTCAATTGCCTTGTATACATACGTTGTCAACAAGAAAACAATCTCGTGACAGTACACCATTATCCTATTCACCGATTCACAGTAAGCTTCAAAAGGATTAGTTTGTGTCGGGACTGGATTAGTACGATGACATGTTATAGTTCGGTTTTTTTTGTTTAACACGGAAAGATAAAAATTTCGCGTTAGATAGTTAGTTTATAACACATATGGGTAGTCATCAATCATCTTTTATTAAACCAACATTAGCTAATATTTCAATAAATGCTTACAATCGAGATCGTCGACATCGATCATATTCAAAATCAATAACAACATGTTGTTCACCATCAAAAATTCGACGACAATGTAATAAGAATTTGTTAGATGATGATCATAGTAAGTTTTAATTAAATTGTAAAATGAATAAGACATTTTTTTTTTCTTATTATAGAAAAATTTATCATACCGAAAGAATTTCCTGTTGATCAATTGTATGATATTTATATGCAAAAACATGCACTTGATGATTTAGCATTTTCTATTGAATTTCAAGTAGGTTGAGCAAAAAAGAATTTTTTTATTTACTTAGATCAAAAAACAATTACTAGATTTTCTTATTTTTCTATTCAAAAAAATGATTTTCTTTCCTTGGAATTGATAAATTTATGAATAAAATTTAAATAGCAAATCTTATAATTTCAAGAAAAATCAAAGAATAGGATGTGAATTTCATATATATATTTTTACATTGAATACTTCAGTATTCATTCTGTTGTTGTTTTTTTTTATTAGAGTATTCCTGATTTTGAAGAATTACCATGTACATCAGCAACTCGTGCAATAGTTGCTTCTAAAAATCGTTTTCTTAATATTTTACCTATTGATACTACTCGTGTTATTCTTAATTTACTTAATGATGATCCATCTACGGATTATATTAATGGAAATTATATTTCGGTTTGTTAAATTAAATATTTATTAATATTTTTTAAGCAATTTGATTTAAAATAGGGATACAAATGTTCAAATAAATTTATTGCTACTCAAGGTAATAGCGATATGGTTAATACAAAAAAAGTCTAGAAAACGACCTATGTCTTTATATAGGTCCTAAATCTGATACTTGTGAAGATTTTTGGCGTATGATATGGGAACTTAAACTTAAATCTATAGTTATGTTAACAAATATTATTGAAGGTGTATCACGAATGGTAAACATTATTATTTTTTAATATTTTTGATATACATATGAGGGAACTATCCGAATTGATACACACCATTTGAGTCCAAAAGTAAGCTTGATTTTGTGATATATTTATATCGATATCTGTTCGGATAGTTTCCTTATTAGGACATACCAAAAGTAGTAGCGAAGATACTGTAATTCCTTATAAAAAGTTTACAGAAACTTTTTCTCTCTATGGGATGATAGTAATAATGATGCTCTATTTTCTTGCACTAATACATCATTCTTCAACTAATATTATTTCCATGAGACCTATTTGTTATGACATATGAAGATAACATCAAATCATATTTATCTTCGGTGTGCCCTTTTCTCTCTATGATATTTACTCGTTTCTAATAAAAGACAATATATATTCATAAAGATATCTTCAATCAGAATGCATGACAATAATACATCATTTATCTATTTCTTCGAATCTGATATCATGTGATTTTTGATTATACGACTTAATCATACAAAATTTAATCAATCAAAATGATTCAGAATCCTTGCAACATGCTATAATCAACTTCATGAATTCTTTAAATAAAGAAAAGTATAGAAAAACATTCAATAAATGAATTCGACGAGTGACGGATAATCGCGACGATTATGTCGAATATTTGATGACAAAAAAAAAACTTGTTTCTGTATTTCTTTTTGTTCTGTCGGCATCACTAAAAAATAATCAAGGAAAGAATACATATCGAAGATAATCTAATGTTATCATCACCAAAACTGCCGATGTGACAGGCATCTAATCAGTCAAATTTTGAAACTTTAATCATATATTATATTTGCTATCACATGCTGGAAACTGCGGGTTCCCGTCAGAGACCCATGAATCCGAGCATTGGAACCTGGGAAGGAGTCTATTGGTAGCTCTGATCGCCGCAAATCATAACAAATAGCTCGTATTGAAATTTTTTTTTTTTGAGTATGCTATTAGTTGAAAATCTGATCGAAATGTAGAACATTGTTTTTACTATCAAACCATACAGAGAGAAAGAGAAAGTTTCTTTAAGCTTTTTATTAGTAATTAAAGGATCTTCACTACTTTTGTTTTTTTGATATGCTCTATGTATTTTTATTATTTCAAAGACAAAATGTCATCAATATTGGCCAGAACTTAATCAAACAATAACCTATGGTTCATATCAAATTACATGTATAGATAAACAATGTTTATGTGATTATGAAAAACGTTTTTTTCATTTAACAAAAGTAAGTTGAATAAAACGTTTTAATAAATCTAACATAGCTCTTGGTTGATCACCTGGTACTAAATGTCCAGCATTTCGAATAGAAGCTAATATAAAATTATAGACTATTTTAATATATCCTGCTATTTGATTATCTGTTGAATCAACTTTCCATATATATCGACTTGTATTTTTATATTCATTTGAATGAGACCATTGTAAATCAGCAATCCAATTTAATGTTAAACTTTCAGCACAAATTATATCTAATAAACCATTATAAATAAGAATTTTATAATTATTAAAAAGTATTGTTAATTGTTCTGATGGTATACTTTGAAAAACATCATTTATAAGCATTAATTCAACTTTATTATCTTCATGAAATGTTAAATTTCCAACATGAATTTGTCGACGACGATCAATATTTGTAATAAATTTAACATAATTTGATATTGATGAAGAAACATCCGTTTGTAAATAATTATAATAAGCTCGTAAACCTGTTACATTTGTAAAATATGATGTTGTATTAATAAGATCACCATCAATTAATGAATCCGATATAGTAAATGCATCAGAAAAACGTTTTTGACTAATTGCATAACGAACTAAATCTGATTGAAGATTGATATAAAATAATTGATTATCATCAATTAAACCAATCTAGAAATTATAAGATTATCACAGTCTCGATATATTCTCTATTGTTACAATCTATAATAAATGCTATTATCTCTTCTACATGGTATATTAAAAAAACAAGATAACTAAGTGCAGTATATATCGCATGTGGTCGTAACTGAATGGCTACGTAGTTCGACACGTATTCATCAGGCCTCGAAATGGGCCATCTGGTCCGATGGCTTTATCCTTTTTTGATATTTGACTCATCTCTGAGGGAGGATATGGGAAAGTTTCCGCGCTACCCCCTCGGTCATCACTTTTTTCTAAACGACGAAAAATATGCAATAGCTCTCCGTTGAGAAAAAAAAAATCTTTGTCGACGAATTTTTTTCGCGCCGGGCGAATCTAAGCAATATTCGAGTCATAAAAAAGTGGTCCGATTTCGAAGTCTGATATCCACAAGGTACTATATGCAAATCTCAGTAATATCAGCCATATAATGATCCCAGTGGCTAATTAGAGTGTATGAAAAGTGCAAGAACTCTACGTCAGATCAGTTTTCTGTTCAGAGCTACAACTGTAGGCAAGATATCGAGCTATTGAATCTACCGTTAAGCAGCACTTCATGCTGAAAGGTAGCCAAAAGAGAGAGAGATGTTCTTCTTTTTCTTGCACACGTACCTGATAAAGTAATGGTCCATATACATATTGCCTATACGGATCTGTCCATCCATTTCCCATTGAAAGTCCAACTAAATTAATTTTAACTTTAACTTGTGGATTTTGATTTTCAACATGAATTTTATATCCTATTGATGGTACATATTTACCACCATAACTTTCACCTGTAACATAAAATGGATTTGATGCATAATCAGTATAAATTTGAAAGAATTGTGTTAATGCTGAATAAAGATCACGTGCAACATCATCTTCTGAACGAGCATAACCATCATCATTGGATGTAAAACTATAACCTGTACCAACTGGATTATCAATATATAAAAGATTATACAATGAATTCCATGTTATAGGTCGTTCTGCTAAATTTCCATCATCATTAACTTGTATAGGACCATGTTCATTAAATAAACCAAAAAGTGATGGTGCACCAGGACCACCTTGAAGCCAAAGAAGTACAGGAGCATTTTTATCACCATTTTGTGTAGGAAAAAACCAAAAAAACATATTAGAATTATATTGTTTATTAACAGTTAAATAACCAGAAAATGATTGTTGTTTATATGGTGGTAATTCAACAGAACTAAATCAATGAATTAGTTACACAGGAAAAAAAAAGTAATGAAATATATCATACCTTAATTGTCTTGCTTCTTCAATTTTACCTTGTTCAAGATATGGTGTAAGAAATAAAGGTTCACCAGGATCATCATTTGATTTAATAACGTATTGTTTTCCATTTGGATATAATAGACGACGAAATTGACCTTGAATATTTCCAGTCAAAAAAAATATTATGAGGAGAATAATAAAACCTTGTTGTAACATCATTATCATCTACAATGATAAACTGAATACCACTAAATAATAATATTTCCTTTTTGTTTTTTTTGCTTTCTATTTATATAAGATAAGTAATGACAAAGAATTTTTACTATCGTCATCATTAACAATAAATGATGCTTTGTCATTAAATTCAATAAATAATGAACAAGATATTCGTCTTATTGTTCAATATCATTATATACAATGGAAAGATATGGATGTTCCAAATGATTCACATACGTTACTTCATTTAATAGGTGAAGTTAATGAACAAACAAATTGTGAACATTATCCAATTGTTGTTCATTGCACGTAAGAAAAAAAAAAGAAAGGAAGAATTTCATTTATGCAATAATGAAAATAAATGTTTTTTTTTTTAGTGCTGGAGTTGGTCGTACAGGTACTTATATTGCTATTGATGCAATGCTCGATAAAATTAAACAAGAGAGCAAAATTGATATATATAATTTTGTATTACAAATGCGTCGTGAACGTCATTTGATGGTACAAACAGTAGTATGTTTATTTTATTAAAATAAAAAATAAGAATCGATTTCTTTCTGGTTTTTTTTTTCTAAATATTAAAATAGAAACAATATGTATTTATTTATCGATCTTTACTTGAATATTATCTTTATGGTAATACAAAAATTGAAGTAAATACATTTCGATCAATATATACAAATTTAAAAAATAATGAACAAGTTTTATTAATTTCTGAATATAATGTAAGTTATTTGATTTAGTTCGATATTTTTTTTGCTCCCAAGAAATTCATGTACAGAGAATTCGAAATGTATCCAAGATTTATTGTTTTTAATATTTAGAAACTACAATTATTATCCGTTGAAAATATTTCTCATCGTGATGCTCATCTATCAACAAATATAAATAAAAATCGACATACTCAAATCATACCATGTAAAATTTATTATTATCTATTAAATAAAAAATTTTCTTTTTTCCTATGTAGATGATCATAATCGTGTTCGTTTAAGTCGTATACTAGGACATCCATATATAAATGCATCATTCATTGAAGTAAGATTTGATATTTTGTTTAAATATTCATCAAAAAAATTTTTTTTTTCATAATAGGGATATTCACATGAATCTTCATTTATTATAACACAAGATCCATTATTAGAAACAATTGATGAATTTTGGAGAATGTTTATTGAACATGATACAAATTGTATTGTACAATTACATACAATTATAGAAGTAAGATCTAAATTCTATATAATTTTATTTCATAATATTAAATATAAATTTAGTCATCTACAAAATGTGCAATTTATTATCCAAATGATATTGATACAACAATGAAAATTGGTACAACTAGTTTATTAAAATTATTAGAAAAAGAATTTATAGAAGATAAATATATTATTCGTCAATTTTGTTTAACAGATACACGTGAATCTCTATCAAAAACAATTTATCAATATGAATATCTCGTTCCTATATGTAATAATGATGAATATGAAAATGAACAATGCATTCCAACGGTATTAATACATAATTTATTTGATTTTATTGGTCATATTAACAAACAATTAGATAGAAACAATCACAATCGATATATAACTGTTCATTGTGGGTATGAAGGAAAAAACTTGTTGATTTTCTTTTATACTATGAACACTAATTAACGACGAAATTTTCTTCGAACTCTAGCAGACATGAAACCGGTATCGGTTACCGTCTGATTCGATCTAGTAGACTGGTGTGTGTTCTATTATCTCATAGAGGTTCTCTAATGAAATTTTGTTGAAAGTTGACTACGTTAAATATCATTATCTACAGATGGAATAGTAATACGACAACTCGTCAGTCCAGTGTCGTTATGAATTTTCAAGTCAATTAAAGATCTTACTTGCAAACTAACAAATTTAAAATATTAGCTGCTTATGATGTACATGAACTTCAAGCCTGAAGTCTTTACTGTTTTAGGATATTCAAATTTTAAGGAATTTATAGTGTATATTGCTTGCCAACAGTTTAAGATTCATTTGTCATGCTTGGATAGAGTTTGTTGAGTTACATAAGAAAAACGTATGTTTCATGTATTCATAAAAGAATTTTAGATCTATTTCTGTCTGTATTTGAAAATAATGATATCATAGGCTTTTCTCATAAAATATTTTTTGTATATTGAAGGTAAACATTTTCTTTTGTAACCTGACGAGCTCTTTAATGAATTCTGCTGAAATTTTGCATTGTTGGCACACAACTTAGACTATAAATAATTTAAAATTCGAATATCTCAGTACGTGTACTTCGTAAGCAACTCATATTTTAAAATTGTAAAATGAGTCGGATAATAATTAATTATTTTCCATGAGAGTTTTGTTTACGTTGAAAAAACATCTTGCTTAAAAAAACACTGTTATCATCTACTTACTATAATTCTTCCTTCGATGTCCATGCAAACATGTAATTTATTCGTCGTAAGCTATAAATATACTTGACGAATAATTGAATAGTATCACTAAGTAAACTATTCGATCTTTGAAACCATCGTTTATAGTTTCAGCTTTGTTTGCAAGATACTATACAGTTGTTTGAATACATCTGAAATGATGTCTTAGATTCGGAGGATAAATATAAATTGATAAAGTTGGACATTTTGTTTAACATTTTGTGAAACACGATCTGAAAGGAATATGTTGAAGTATAGAAGTAAAAGTTTGAACGCCCACAGGCCATAACGGACGTTGTTGATATACAATCATAGACCGTATATTCATAACATCTCTTTGTAATATATGAATTGCTTTCTTACTGCATTTCTGGATGAGTAAGAAAAATGATAGGGAAGAAATATGTCCCAAAATCGATAGAATAAAACAATCTCCTTGTGATTAGTACCAGCAGTAGGGAGCTTCGGGTCCGGGTTCAACTTTTTATTTTTCGTTGGGCTCGGTTACACGTTTTTGTGGACTCGCTGCTCTTGAGATGAGAAATGCAACAACAAGATATAGCTGTACGTTCAGTTTTTCCCTGAGAGTAGCGAATAAATAGCTGAAATATTGATCCTTTACTTGTTCATGTACACGAAAGGCACCAGATATTGATGCAAAAAATCTCGGGTTTGAATTCACTCTTAATCTAATAGATACATGCCTATATATGCACAGGAAAGTAAAATGAGATAAATTTAATTTTTCGTGAACCCCCTCAATAAATGTCATATTACTAATATGATAATTCATTAAGAAAATAATTTTAGAAATGGTGGTCCAACTTCTTCAATATTTTGTATGACTTTTATATTATTGGATCAACTTAAAAATGAACATAGTATTGATATTTTTCAACGTGTACGTGCATTACAACGACAACGACCTGCTATGATTACATCATTTGTATGTCAAAAAATAATTGAATTTTTATTTCTAATTTTTTTTTCTATAGGCACAATATGAATATCTCTATGAAATGATTCTAAAAT